ACTACAGAAGGTGAGATGCTACAGTTGAATTTCTGCTTCTATTGATCACAATCGATTAGATCTTCACACAGCCAAGTCTAGTGTCTGAGAGTAAATTCACTCAGGGCTTGGGCACATGCCCATGCGTATGTGAGTATCTGTGTTGCCTGGAAAGGGAAACGGAGGAGGGCTAGCTGGTTGCTGAGATCTCTTTTAAGGTGGAGTCTTTTTTCAATTTGCCATCTTAACCTGGGCTGGGAAATAGGTTCCCAGCCCTAATTCATTTAACTAATTAAATGAAGAAACCACAGCACCCAAAAGCAAACAGACTAATTAAATAAACCACTTGAAGTAAACTAATGATTATTAATAAAGACAAATTCGTAGGCCGGGATGCCGACAAACAGAAAGGCCTTCTCCCTTGCTGCCTCTCAGACTGTATCCTTTCCGTCTAAAATGTTTGATTATCAAATACAGACAAAATACATTGAAGGGACGCAATGCAATGACTTGCTGTATGCATACATCGTGTAATGATTGCCACGATCAGCTTAGGGAGCCTATGTGTGCTGAGCCACGCTGAGTGTTAGAGCTCCAAACCTGAATATCTTACGACTGGAAGTCCTCACAGCGTCCAGCATTATGCATTCCTTTCTTTTCTGGCTCCCGGAAACTGTCTAGTCCTTGATTTTGTGAGTTCAACTCCTGAGCTCACACTTTTCTTCTTCTTCTCCACCTCCTCCTCCTCCTCTTCCTCCTACTGTATTTTGAGACTGGTTTTGCTGGTTGTGCACTGAGCAGCTCTGGCTGTCCTGGAACTCACATTGTAGAGCAGGCTGGCTTCAAACACATAAAGATCTGCCTGCCTCTGCCTCCCAGTTGCTAAAATTAAAGGTTCACCACCACCGCCGCCCAGCACTGTTACTTCTTTTTGCCAGACTGTCATTTTAATTTCGGTTTATAATGGACACAAGTCCCCATATGGGCCAAATTGTAGTTATTCATAGACTTTTCTCGGAAGCACTGGACATGCACTTAAGATCATGTATGTGTCCATCTTCCAGACGCCTCAGACTCACCCTGGAGCACCTTCAGACTATAAGCCCTCACCCTGTGAGAGGTCTGGTCCTCGGGCTGAGGGAGGAATAAGGCTGTCATGGAGAGGTCTCTTTGTCTCTGCCTCCCAAGTGATTGAAAGGAATTCTTCTCTCAAGTTTTGGGAGCTTGTGCTTTACAATATATAATTTTTGTAGAATATGCACAGTTATCCCTGGGGGTTCCTGGGGAATTACATTCAGAATGCTCCTTGGGTGCCAAAATCTGCAGGTACCTGTGATGGTTGGAAAGAAAATGGCCCCCCACAGGGAGAGGCACTATTAGGTATGGCTTTGTTGGAGTAGGTGTAGTCTTGTTGGAGGAAGTGTGCCACTGTGGGGGTGAACTTTGAGGCCTCCCATGCTCAAGCTACACCCAGTGTGGCACACATTTGTGTCTGCTTCTTGTTGATCAAGATGTAGAACTCTCAGCTCCTTCTCCAGCACCATGTCTGCCTGTGTACTGCCATGAAGATAATGGACTAAATGAACCTCTGAAACTGTAAGCCAGCCCTAATTTAATGTTTTTCTTTTTAAGAGTTGCTGTGGTCATGGTGTCTCTTCATAGCCACAAAAACCTTAAGAGAACACCTAAAGCCCTATTTAAAGTAAAAGTATTGTACTTTATTTCTGTAGCATGTGTGCATGCATGTGCACTCACATGTGAATATTTGTACTGCATGTGCATGCCACATCACATGCATGGATGAAAGAGGACACCTTGGAGTACTCAGTTCACACTCCATGTCATGCGGCTCCCAGGGATCAACCTGAGGGCAACAGCCTTAGCTGCAAATTTCCCTATCTGCTAAGCCTCTACAAAAAGATTTATTTTTATTTGTATAGTTGAGTATATGCCATATGTACACAGGTTCCCATGGAGGTCAGAAGAGGGCATTGGATCTTCTGAAGCAGGAGTAACAGAAGGCTGTGAACTGCCCAGCATGGGTGCTGGGAACCAAACTCAGGTCTTCTGCAAGAGCAGTAGGTGCTATTAAGTGCCGAGCCATCTCTTCAGTCCCTGGATCAGACCTTTTAATACACAGGCAGCTGATGGACTGAGATAGCATTCTGAGTGACATGCTGTGAGGGTTACTGAGTGGAAAGTGTTTCTTAGCTACCTGCCAAAGTACTTATATGAGCTTTGATCACAACGAGCCTTCAGGTCAGACTTTTAATTTGATAAAACTGGGTATAAATAAAATATTAAGAGAGCTGGCAAAGAGAAGTAGCAGGCATAGTGATCTGTTCCGAGTAGGAACGAATGCCTGGTCGCACAGGGCCTGGTATGGTTCTGTTAATTTTCTTCATGAAAGATTTTAGCAGAAGGTTGGACCAGTGCCTTCACTGTCGTCACTACCATGACAGCTGGAGGTTTCTCAGCCTCTGCCCCAGGTCCTGGAATTGCTATAAGGCACTTGACCATGAACCCTGGTCTCACTGTTGGGATCTCCAGGCCCTGGGGACAGGCAGGAGTCGTCTTGCTGGTCTTTCTAAACTCTACCAAGGTGCTTGTTTGCGATGCAGTTCTGGAAGCTGCTTCTACCAGATGCCTCTCCCTGGTTGGATGGCCCCAGAAGCTCCAGGCTTGCTTATTTGGGGGTTCTGGCACCTGTCTGTCTTTTAACGCAGGCTTTGACTTATTCAGCCCTTGTATTCAATGTTACTAACATTCTAGGTTTCAGGCGTAAGGCCAAACACAGCGCTGAACTGTGAACCTCACATCTGGGCCAAGTCATTGGCCGGAAGGTACAGGCTCACTCCAGAATACTTGCTTGGACGTCTGATCCTTTCCAAGGCCAGTTTGAGTTATATCATTTATATTTCAATACTTTAGAAGCTTAAGTTAGCTGCTAGCAACTGGCAGCTCTGGGAAACAGTTCCTTGAGAAGATTCCAGACACAGGGTACCAGTTGGGTGTGGTTTTTTTTTTTGCCTATCCATAGGTTAAGGATACAGGTGTGCCCTTGAGCCTGGGAGCATCACTTCTGGTCTGCTGCTGTCTCATTTCTTACATAGATGTTTGTAATTTCTCTGTCTGGCCTTGCTCAAAGGAATTACACACACACACACACACACACATGCACACACACACACACACACACACACACACACACACGCAGGCACGCACACTCACCCTGAAAGTGTGCAGGCAAAAGCAAGTGACTGGATTAAGGCACTCTGAGGCACGCCCCTCCCCCAGCCTCCTCATTGCTCCAGTTTTCAGTCCTTGTACCCCCCTGCCCGAGGCCTGCTGGTAGGCAGATTTTGTGCAGTCGAGTATAACTGCGCCTTGCTCCTGGAACTGAATTCTGTGGCTTGTCTTCAAGAGCAGGTATGCTCTGGGTTCTGGGATCAACACATTATAGCATGGCTGCTTTTAGGGACCCTGGAATTAGGGAACCACTGTGTTCAGGAAATTCTCCTGGGAGCATATCTCTAGTGGCAGCGAACTTGCTGACTGAGAACAAGGAGACTATTCCATGGCAAAGGAGTACAATTTCTCTGGCTGTCATAACCTGGTGGGAACAGTGGAAGTCCTGGAGTTTGAGTCTCTCATTGATGAGGATAGGTGATGGGAGTGGGGTTGGCAAGGCCTTTCGCGGGCCGCATTTGATACCCCATTGTTGCTCTAATTGGTTTCCACAAGAACGAACAGGATGGTTGCTTGTTTTCTATGCATAGAGAATAGAGCTTCAGAATGGGCTCTAAATCACCTCTGTATTTGCAGATGAAATGGTAAAAGCTTGGGGTTGTTCCATCCTCCCCTCCAGGCCACTCCGTGACAATTGTTAATTTTTGGGAGTGGGAGGAGACCTCCATAGGAACTCAGTACAGTGTCTCCTTGGCAGCAAATGATTTGGGGCTTTGCATTTTGAATTTAGACGATGATATCTGAGTGGATGCTCTATATTTTTGCTTAAATGTCTCCAGAAGGCTTTTCTTTTAGAGAGTTTTCCAGAAAGTGTATTAAAAGATGCTGGCTTTGTAGTACAAGTATCCCTTGACGAAAGAGGGGCTATAAATGAATTGAAAAAGCAATGTGTTCCAGCCCGTACATGCCAGAGAGACAAACTACTGGCCCTCCTTTCAACTTTCGACCCATTCTTTCCTTTATAGGACTAGAGCTTTGATGGCCCGCCTGGATGTCAGATGAGGCACCTTGGGCTGGGGATGTAGCTTATTTGGTAGAGTGTGTTTAGACCCCAGGACAGCATTAACTAAGTGTGACGTATGTAGCCTTGGCTATAGAGTAAGTTGAAGGCCAGGATGAGGTACACAGGACCATACCTCCAAAAAAAAAAAAAAAAGTCTCACAGAAAATACCCAAGTCTCATAAACACTCTCTAGGATAGAAATGATATGAATACCAACTTCCGATGGTTCAGCTTATGAATTTTCATTCTTATGTTGGTTTCGAAGTGATATATATTCAGCAAACTCTACATTACGAATTTTGCTCTTTTCCTAGGCTGTGGATACAGAAAAAAAAAGCCTCTGCTTTTCCTTTGAGTATGGTAGTCAACAAAGTATATCGTCAAGATTTTGTTATAAAATAGGCTTTGCGTTGGATGATTTTGTCCGCCTGCAGGTCAATGTCAGCGTTCCAAGAAAAGTTAAGGCGGGGTAGGTTGAGCAGAGGTGTTCTGTAGGTTATGTGTAGCACATACATTTCAACTGACAACATGTTCAATTTATAATAGGCTCACAGGACATGTGACCCCAGGGAAAGTCCAAGTCCAGGGACCCTCCCATTTCATAGATGAATAAATGTTAGAAAGCTGGCTCCAAATCTGCTTGGTCTGCAGTACAGTTCTGCAAGTAAAAGGGTCAGTTTCCTTCTGCGACAAAGCACAACCCACCTTCCACCTCTGCCCAAACCTGTAAGAACAAACCCTGCCTCTCCCTTTCCCCTTCCCCTTCTACCTGCAAAAGTCTCCTTCAGATTCCGGCAGCGTCAGCGAGGCGGTGGGGTTCTTCACCAGGTCAGCCACCACTGGGTCCTTGGCTGTCATGTAGAAGAAGGGAGTCCCCGTGCTGTTGTGGACGGGGCCATCGCTAATGGCCAGGCAGCTCCCAAAGGGCAGTCCTTGGATCTAACAAATGCAACAATAACGACAAAAAGGCTTTTTAGCGGTAGAGCTATGGGGAACACAAACTGGGGAAAAACTTTGGGTTGCCGGGCAGGAAACACAGCCCTGGGACCTTGTTTGGACCAGTGGGTTTGACAGGTAGATTAAGACGAGGTGGGTCCAATCGATGCAATTCACCCAGGGATGGTTTCGGAATTTCTCTGCGGGGAGAGGCAGGTAAGAACATTCTGTCTGGGAGCTGATGGATTCTGGAAGCTGCCTTCTCACAGCAAATGTATTCATATTATTGAAGGGTAAGGACAACGAGGCCTATGGAGAAAAAGACAGCGCTAGGCCTTCTCCCACAGGCTCCTCTTCAACACCTTCTGCCTGCATCATCTCCTCCATTCTTTTTAAACGTTGGGGATAGAATTTAATTTGTTTTATAAACTGCTTGGTATTTGGATGCCAAGCATATTCTATACTGTTTCAGTTAGAGCAACATTTCTTTGTTTATTAATAACCTTTTGGCATATGACTGAACAAGTTATGGGAAGTTGATACGTTGAATACTCTTTTAGCCTAAATGGAAGTCACAGAAGCATGACATCCTGATCACTGCCTGTGTTCACCTAGTAGATGGGGGAGGGTCTCCTGTCATGTCCCATGTGACTTTAAACAGAAACAATGGCATTTAAGTCTTAGTGTTCCCCGAACTCTCCTGCACCTGCTTTGTCCCTTACAAAGAGCCCCCTCCTATTGAGGCTGCCATTGTTTTCCAAGCACTAGACAGAGTGTGCACGATTGTGAAAGGAAGGGCTTAAATCATTTAGAAACATGAAAAATTAACAAGTTCTCCAAATGGCTCTATTACATCATCCATACATTCTATTTTCAGCCTATCATGAACCGCTTAGCAGTTCATGCAAATGTTTTCTGAATTTACCGAGTTTTGGATTGAAAATCAATATTGCAAGGGGAAGGCCTATGGATGCTAACAAAAGAGCTGTCGGAGATCAAAATATCTTCACTACAAGGACACTAGATGCTTTTTCTTCTTTGGCTGTTTGTGTTTTTGTGAGGCAGGATCTGGATATGTAGCCAGAGCTGGCTTTGAACTCACACTTCTCTTGCCTAAGGCTTGCTGATGCTGGGACGACAGGGGTGGGCCACCAAGCTGGATGGGCACCAGATTTCTTGTGTGTGTATTCATGCATTCTAGTGTGCCCATGCATGTGATGCTTGTGCATAGTGTGTATAGGAGGTCAGGGGACAACTTCCTGACTTTCTGGTGTCATTCCTTAGGATCCCTTACTGTTATGACTTTTAGATAGTGTCTCTGTGGCCTGGAACTCTCCAAATAGGACAGAATAGCTTGCCAGCAAGTCCTAAAAGATCCACCTGTCTCAACCTGCTTAGCACTGCGATTCCAAATCACGACACCATGCTTGGCCCAAAACGAAAACAAAAAGCAAAACAAAGCAAAGCAAAACAAAAAAGCCCCAAACAAACAACAACAATAACAGCAAAAAAAAAAAAAAAAAAATGGGTTCCGAAGGTTGGACAACTAAGATCCTCAAGCGTTTTGCTGCTGAGACATTTCCCAAACTTTAGGCACTAGGTTTTTGTTTTTGTTTCTGTTTTCCCATGATTGTCTTCATATTTAAGCCCCATATTTTATTAAGGTATGTGTCAGAAGTGTAAAAACTGTTCGCACACTGGGAATGCAGAACTGGCTGGGATTCTGACATAGAAAGAGGACAAGATCATTGTCATTATTAGGATAAAGTTGGCATTAGTTATTTTTTAAGAAAATGAAAAGAACTTTCAAGCTCTGCCTACTGAATTGCTTAATTTGTTTTTTCAAGACAAGGTTTCTCTGGGATTACTTAATTTTGTAGATGGGAAAACAGGGTGCCTTGGCCAAGCCGGGGCTAGTAACTAGACCCAGAGTTGAGGCAAGAACTCGACCCCCACACGGTATGACATGTATTTTTCTGTGCACAGATTAATCAGGGGGCTCGGATCACACCTCTGTCTCTTAGGACTGGAAGCTTTCTGGAGGCTATTCTTACAGAATATGGGGCTTCAGGACATCTCCAAGCTGCTCTGGGAGGAAGCAGGCTAACGGGTGAATAAACCTTTGTGAACCAAAAGAGAGAAATTGCGGTTCAAACAGCTCCCTCCAGCAGCTACTCTCTGCCTAATTAAAAATTCGAGTTCCATTATTTTTTTTAAAGTGTAAATTTCTATCAGTGCGTGGATGGTGCCTTTCCTTCACGCCTGCCTGGTGTGGGCGGTGGTGCGGGAGTCTGCCTGTGGGACAGTGCTCAGAGCCCGCAGGGGCTGAATGCGCCTCATTTGTGATTCCAAAGGCGATCCTGTCTGCTTTCCAGGTCTCCATGTGACGCTGATTTTTTGACCACCTCTTTGGCCATTTTAAGACAGGGATTAAGTCACTAACCACCAGACTGTTTCCCAGGGTCGCTTTCCTCACCACTCACGTGCACATGGCCAGATGAACCGACTTCTGCACTAGCCGGGTTCCGTTATTCACAAGGCTATGCACCTGTGAAACCCGAGTCGCCTGTGCCCGGGTGCTCGCCCCAGAATTGCCCGACCACGACTAGTCATGCACCACCCCCGCGTCTCGACCTCTGGCTTACCTTTTCTTGGGTGGACGTGGTGGCCAGACAGCCCCAGGAACTGGCGTGGACCAGGGAGCGGGCGGTGCCGGCACTCACCCTCGGGCCAGGGGATGCTGCGGATGAGCCGCTCTCCCGCCGGTAGGAGAACATTCCACGCGGGGTCGGTGCGGGCCTGGCGCGAGCCGAGCCCCGAGGCCGCAGGTGCGTGTCCTCCTTGTGTGCCGAGGCCGGGAAGCTCTGCTGCCAGATGCTGCCCGAGTCCTCCAGCAGCGCGGGCATTGCCTCCTCGGTGGACGCGCTGTCCAGCTCCTCGTCTACCTCGTTGGTGACAGCCCAGGACACGGAGCTCACGATCACGTAGCCGGCGGCCGGGGACAGCAGGGCGCTGCAGCATAGCAGCCAGGACAGGCGGGTCCCTGGACCCGCAGGGCGCTCCCCGCTGGACAGTGACATCTTCTCACAGGCGACGGGCCCTGTGGCGGGGACCGATAGCCTAGCAGCGGCCGGCCAGGGGCGCCCCCCTGCGGCAGAGCGTGCGCCGGAGCCCCTTCTTCTTGCTGTAGGATTGTCATGTCTGCCTTTATTGCTCTGCACCCTGGGGAGAAGAGACGTCTGCTGCAAGACCAGACTCCCGTCAGCTGCGCACGTCGCCGCTACCGGACTCAGAGTCCAGGCGTGCCAGGGCTGGATGGCTTGGTTTTCCGCAGACTGGCACGGGTTCCGCAGCCAAAGGGTGGGCGTTCACAACTCCAGCTCAATACACTCCTCCGCTCGACAGCTGTGAGGCTTCCTCCAAGCTGTTTAACTTCTCTGTGCCACCCCAGGACCGTGCCAGCAAGGAGGACATCACCAGGTTCAGTCGCTGCACCTTGAGCCCCCAGAACCATAAGGCACAATACACCTACATCGTCCTTAACTCTCCCAGTCCGTGGTGCCATGCCATTAGCAACACAAACTAGTAGCACATTTTAAAACATCTTATTCCAGTTAAAATTAATTATTTCTTACCTCTTCTTATGACATCTAGACTCGGTCCCACTAGGGGACATGCTCTATAGCTTGTATCCCTGAAATGCAAGAGTCCTTCTCTAACTAGTCCCAAAAGAAAATAACTTGAAATAGCATTTGCCGTTTTTTACTACATCATGTCCTCAGTTGCACCTAGCTGCCATACCTCCTCTGCCCCATCCTGCTGCTCCTCCTGGATGCCTGGATGCTGGAGCACCCTGCCAGTGTGGGCACAGCTGGCCTCTCCCTTCTACATGGAACCAGTCTTGGTTTCTCTCCCTGGCTGCTGCTCTTTTCTCTTTCTGCATCCTTCTCGCTGCTTCTGAACACTGATGTTGTCTTCGGCATCTCCCTGAGACATCTAGTTCCTTCTCACCGCTCCTCCCGTTGCCTGCTGCTCTCTCCCCAACCTCCCACTTGCACTCCCTCTCATACCCCGTTCCTGGGAAGATGTGTCCCACAGTTTTGAGAGGCAGGATGGTAAGTCTTTGAAATACCAGCCTCTGCAGTCAGCTGTGGTGGCACGCGCCAGTTATCCCATCCCTTGGGAGGTGTAGGCGGGAGAATCAGGAGAATCAGGAGTTCAAGGTCATACTTAACTAGAAGGCAAATTTGAGACCAGCCTCGACTGCTTGAGACCCTCTCAAGAGCAAACAGATTAAAAAAAACCAACAGCCCCTCCTACTCAGATGCGCCTTCTGGAGTAAGAACAATCCAGATTTTGCTCCTCAGGTCCTGATGGTGGGAGAGTGGCATGTCACCTGACACTTTCTGTCTTTGGGTCTTATCTGCAAAATGGGGACAGTTACATCTCCCTCGTCAGGTTTTGGATGTCAAGCAGACTGTCTCTAAGTTTTCAGGGAGTGCTTACGGGGAGTGCCGAGGCTTGCTCTGTTTGCTCAGAGGGAAAAGGATGTCTGTTCCAATCTCAGAAAAGGATACAGAACTAATGTATCAGTCCCGTAAGATGACTGCACATGGTGGTCTCAGCCCCTAGTCAGCTTTTCACTGCAGGATCAGCCTACCTTCTCTTTCTGCATGACTAAGCTGGCCAGCTGCGGGGGGAGGCATGCATCTTCTTTGCCTAACGTGCTACTGCCTAACCTATGAGCAAGTTCAAGTGTAGAACCTTGTAGGAGTCCCGCTTGTCCCATTGTCTTTATCTCCATTATCCTTCCCATGATCCCCATTGTGCTTTTGGATTCCAGTATTTTATTGCCCAAAGTAGACCCAAACTCAAAGCAGATGTTAAGGCAATCAGCAGCCGGGACATGGCAAGTGTTGCTTATGTGACAGCAGTTTTGTCATTGGCCTTCAGGGATCGACCAGGCTTGTCACTCAAATTTGAGATGATTTCCCTCAGATTTCTTGCATTCCTGTGTGGTCCGGACCTATTTGATTAGTCGTGAAAAGCTAGAGACGGTGTATTCGTCTAGATTCACACACTTTTCCTGTAGACCAACTAGAGTCCTATCCCAGTTGGCAAAGATATGGGTATGGGTGTGTCTAAATGTATTAGGTCTGTGTAAATAACTTCGTTATACGACGTCAAACTGGCATATGATGTGGGAGTGTCATATCAATCTGTTGATTTCATTGGCTGAGCAATAAAGAAACTGCTGGCTCTGATAGGTTAAAAGATAGATGGGAGGAGGAAACAGAATAGAATGCTGGGCGGAAGAGGAAGTGAGGTCAGACTCTGCTCTGCTCCCGGAGAGACCGGACAGCTCTGCTATCTGGAGCAGAGACACCATGATGGATGGAGGCTAGAATCTTCCCGGTAAGCGCACCTTGGGGTGCTTACACAGATCATTAGAAATGGGCTAGTCCAGGTGCGAGAATTAGCCTGTAAGGGCTAGAGTTCATGGGTCAAGCAGTTCTTAAATGAATACAGTTTGTGTGTTGTTATTTTGGGCATGAGCTAGCCAAGCGGCCGGGGTGTTGGGGACTCAGCCCCTCCTCTTCCTATTTCAACAGGCATAGACAGCCATCAGAGATCCTATCAGATCATATCCTATCAGAGAAGGGGAGTACCTGTTTTCTCCATCCTTAACTATTCAGATTATTGTCAGATTTAAAAAATTATTTGTTCCACCCAAATCTAGTAGATGAGCAATGGTGGTTAAAATTACTGGGCGTGAGCAAGAATGGCTCACGAAACAAAGAATGAAACTCACTTTAAGAGATTTTTAAGAGAGAAAAGCACATACACAGGCCTGAGGGAGTTGGTGCAGGGAGAGAGAGAGGGAGAGGAAGGGGGAGGGAGAGGGAGGGGAAGAAGGAGAGGGAGTTGGGGGAGAGAGAGGGAGGTGGGGAAGAAAGGGAGGCAGTAGTTACCTCTTCAGAAGAAGGACAAAAAGAGAGTGGAGCGACTTGTACGGCTTTTAAAGGCTGTCTAGAGCATGCGCACAGGGCCTTATGTAGCTGTAGATGCATCGTGCATAAATCACACGACCATGCTGCGTGTAAGTCATGAAGGGCTTGAAAGGGCCCCGAGTGGCTATGTAAATTGCCTGAGTGCTTGATGGCTCCTGCGCGGGGGCCATAGAACTCGAAAGTGCTAGCTTTTGGGAAGAAAGGGTTGCTTTCATCTTAAAACTCTCAGGTCATGATTTATCACCAAGGGAAGCTAAGGCAGGAGCGGAGAGGCAGAAACTAAAGCAGAGCTCATGGAGAAAGCAGTTTACTGAACTGCTGCCAGGCTCACGTTTGGATACCTCTCTTACACAATTCAGAACCACCTGGCTGGGGGTGGCACCGCCCACTGTGGGCAGACCTTAGCCTATCAATTAGCAATTAAGAAAATGCCCCCTAGATGTGCCCACAAGCCAATTTGATGGTGGCAAGCCTTCAGTTGAGGTTCCTTTCCCCCAGGTGTCTCCAGTTGGTGGCAAATTAACAATATTAACTAGCACAGGGGAGGAAAGGGTTTATTTCAACGTGTAGGTTATGGACTGATATTGAAGGAACTCAAGGCAGGAACTGAAGCAGAAACCACGGAGGGTCGCAGCTTGCTGTCTCACCCCCCAACTCATGCCCGGCTAGCTGGTTTGTATAACCCAGGAGCACCTAGTTATGGCGGCAGCCACCATGGGCTGGGCCCTCCCACATCAATCATCAATCCAGATGGTCTCTCACAGACATGGCCACAGGCCAATTTGTCTGAAGCGATTCTTTCTTTGAGATTCCTTCTTCCCAGGCGGCTTTAACTTGTGTCAAGTTGACAGTCAGAATGAGCCGGTACGTACCTTGTCAGATATGTCTGTCATTCACAGCTATCTTCTCGTTTTGTAGTTTGCTTTTTATTCTGCCGATGCATCTGCCATTCACTGCGTTTGGGGCTTTTTAATTTGATGCAGCCGCACTTGCCTGGTTGGCTCTTATTACCTGCAGGTTCGGTGCCATTTCCAAAACATCCTTGTTGGGATCAACCTGAGACTCCTTCCCCCTGAGTTCTCCTCTGCGAGTTTCATCTGGATTTCATGTCTAATTCTTCTGTCTGCTTTGAGTTCATTTTGTTTGTGGTTAAGATCAAGGTATGCAGACGTACAGTTTTTAAAAGAACACATTTGTAGACAAGACTATCTTTTCCCCGTTGCGAAGTTTTGGTGAATTTGCTGAAGATTGGTTGACATATGTGAGCACCTCTGTCAAAACCAAACTTTTTGTTTGGGTTTTGTTTTTTTTTTTTTTTTGAGACAGGTTTCTCTGTGTAGCCTTGACTGTCCTGGATCTTATTCTGTAGACCAGGCTGGCCCAGGCTGGCCTCAAACTCATAGAGATCCGTCTGACTCTGCCTTCCTAGTGCTGGAGTTAAAGGCATGCACCACCACTGCCTGGCATACAAACTAATTTTTCCCCCTTCTTTTTGTGTTAATTTCTACTCCAATCTTTTAATTTCCTTCTTTTTGCTGATTGTGGACTTAATTTATTGGTAATTTGCTACAGTGTAAACTTGGGTTATTTGCTTCCTCCTTTATTTTTGAAGGGCAGTTTTCCAGAAGTGGTATCCTTCTGCAGTTTTATCCCTTATTATTCTGAATATAACCCCTCTTCCTCCTGGCCTGGGATGCTGCCTGAGAATCTTCCAATAGTTCTATGGGGATAGTTCTCCCCCGTACGTGATGAATTATTTTATATTTAACTCAATTGATTTTGCTGCTGCCAAAATTCTTTGTCTTTTGACAATTCAACTCTAATGTGTCCTTGAGTAAGCTTCTTTAGGTTCATGTGGTCAGAGTCCATTGGGCATCTTAAAGTGGGATGTTTACTTCCTTCCCCAGATTTGGGGAGTCTACAGCTATCATTTAAGTAAGTTTTGCACACATCGCCTTTTATTTTTTTCTTTCTGGGGTCCCTACAGTGCACTTACTGTTGCCTCTTGTGGTGTCAAAAGAGTCACCATCTCTTTTTTTCTTGTCATTTATTTGTCTTTTGTTCATCTT